TGCCTCGATTTTCTCTTTCCCTTTCCCTTTCTCCTCCCCTCCTCCTGCTTTTCCTTCCCTCCCCTATTCCCATCCCTTATTCCACCTTTCCCCCCAGCAATCTCCAGAGCGGGGACACCCCACAGAGCCCCACCGCAGCACCCACCGGTTATCTCCACGATGTTATCCTTGGTCTTGACCACCAGCTCCTCGGGTGCGAAGTGGTTGACGTCCAAGGTGACCTTCCAGCTGTCGGCGGTCTGGCGGATCTCGGAGATGCCGCTGCTGAGCTGGCGGCTCAGCGCCTGCCCGAGGGCCGAGCCGGGCGCGGGCATCAGGGCGCTCTCCCGGGGCAGCAGGCGGAAATAACCGGGCCAGGCGCTGCCGCTGGGCCACTTGTACCAATCCTCGGGGATGTGGGGCATCCCGAAGGACTGGTCGAAGAGGCGGCTGCCATGGTACCAGTCGCGGAAGGGGTCCCAGCTGGGGCTGCGCAGGAAGGTGAAGGGGACGCGGCGCTCGGCCATGGCGTGCGGGGCTGCCGGCGGCGCGGCCGGCGGGGCCTTATGAAGAGGGCCCGGGGTTATTTTTAGCCGGGCAGCTCAGCTGGCTATTAATGGAAATCGCGGCAGCCCCGGGGAAGGGACGAGAAGCTGGCCCGGGGTTGGGGCGGCCGCACGCAGCCGCAGCCGCGGTGGGTGGTGTGCGGGGAGGGGGCTGGCAGCCTCCGGGGACCCCTGCCAGGGACGTGTCCGTCCTCCTTTCATCGCCACGGGCTCGGCCTGCTTGGCAGTGATGGATGGCCCTTGGAGCGGCTCCCGGCCTCTCCCGCCTGCCTGCCCGGAAAACAATCCCCGGGATGCGGCCCCGTGGCAGCGGGAGAAGGGGGCTGGGGCTGGGCCAGCCTGGGAATGGCCGGGTGAGTCAGGGCAGGAGGCCGTGAGCGGCTCTGAGCTGCGTCACCGCCGCCCAGAAGGTTCCAGAGCCCCCCCAGCTCCTGCTCACCCACCAGCCAGAAGGTTCCTGAACCCCCCAGGTCACCCAAAAGGTTCCAGAGCCCCCCAGCTCCTGCTCACCCACCAGCCAGAAGGTTCCTGAACCCCCCGGGTCACCCAAAAGGTTCCAGAGCCCCCCAGCTCCTGCTCACCCACCGGCCAGAAGGTTCCAGAGCCCCCCAGGTCCTGGTCACCCATCAGCTGGAAAGTTCCAGAGCCTCCCAGGTCATCCAGAAGGTTCCAGAGCCCTCCAGGTCACCCAGAAGGTTCCAGAGCCCCCCAGCTCCTGGTCACCCATCAGCCAGAAGGTTCCAGAGCCCCCCAGCTCCTGGTCACCCATCAGC